ATAACATTGACAACCATTTTGAACAACAGCTCGCAATATGATGGAAACGAAGCTCATTGGAAAATAACGAACAAGAATTCTAACAAAAAGGCTCCCGACTACATTGTGTATCATATCCACATGCATCGATTGGACTAAGACAGTTTTGGAGGATGTAATTGCCGTGAACAGCACTAGGTCCTGGTCGTTGCACAACATATCCGTTTAGTTCTGCATGGATCGTGTACCCTCCTTTGAAGCCATCGAGCACTACACTTTCTCATCTTGCACTCGGGTGCATGTATAATCAGAGAGCATACACGCTTGATTGCACGTTGTTCCTGGCAACAAAAGTATGGGTAGATTGGGGAATTTGAAGGAACCCACTGGATCAGAGAAATATTCAAAATCTCAAAACCTTGCAAGAATCCTGAAACCTGCTCTGCAGGAAACAAATTCTATAATTATAATTTTCTCATTTTCACCCCCACTCCACACACACAGCGACCGAAGGCTGTGCCCCAGTGCACAAAAACTTCAATAATTATAGATGGGAATGAGTGGAGTACAGTCAGACCTCGCTTAACAGCACACATCCGTTTTCCATAAAAATATCCGGATAGGCGAGGGAATCGGATAACCAAACACTGTTTATGTTGGATGCGTCACGTATGCTGTAAATATGTAACCAGCTATTTTCTTCCGGATGGCGAGGGATCCGGATTAAAGTGGACCGGATAAGCGAGGTCTGACTGTGTATTTACCTTGACGTTCTGGATCCCCACGCGGAGCCGCAGTTCTATACTGTCCATCATTCTTGTCCCAAACGGCAGGTGAGTAGGGAAGACAGTAGCATCGAACTGAAAATTTTGCGTCAATCGCCGAGTACAAGTCATTCAAGTAGCTCGAAAAGTAACCAAAGCACTTGTGCAGACTTGCCATGGAAACGACTGAGTACTTGGCAACATCTGAATTGTATGGCCTCCTCCGTTTGCGCTTGAAGAGTGCCTGAGGATTACAGACAACACACATTACTAATAATAATTATCATGGTGAAAAAGGAGGACAAAATGTTACGAGTTATGACCAACTGTCCACCAACGTAACCAGATCTTATACAGTCAGCGAGTGCGAAAAAAATGGCACAAAACTGAAAAAGGAGTACTGAGACATTCGACGACCTGACACCTAGCTCCAACACTTCTCCAACGCACAAACCAACAACCTTCCAACTTGGAAGGCTCAGGTTCGGAAAGGTCCGAGAGGGGAAGGAAAGCGCAACGAAGAAGAGCACGAGGCCGGTCTCTCCAATAGTCTCACTACATGTAGCTTGGTCATCATCCAGTAACTTTCGAAATTCTTTGTTGCAGTGATGCGTAGCTCGTGCTCTTCTTCGTTGCGCTTTCCTTCCCCTCTTGGACCTTTCCGAACCTGAGCCTTCCAAGTTGGAAGGTTGTTGGTTTGCGCGTTGGAGAAGTGTTGTAGCTAGGTGTCAGGTCGCCGAATGTCTCAGTACTCCTTTGTCAGTTTTGTGCCATTTTGTCGCACTCGCTGACTGTATAAGATCTGGTTACGTTAGTGGACAGTTAGTCATAACTCGTAACATGTTGTCGTCCTTTTTCACCATAATGTAATTGGCTCACCATCCGAGTTAAAATTATTACTTGCAAGTATATGTCATCCTGGAACTTGTCCTGGAAAGATAGAACAGCTTTCGTTGTGAAATTTACATCCGGTGCTCGTATTGCAAACATGAAAGGAACTCTCTGTACAACTTCCAAATTTTGGAGTGAAAAACATTTTATCGGCGTTTCAATTTTGGCCTTTTGGGTCGGTGACGAATATTGCCGAAATTTAATAGCTGCTGAAAATGTGTCTATTTGTAGTAAAATGGATGAAAGATCTTGAGCTAAATGCATTTTAAGCTAACTATGAGTCGAGTGTCCGTTCTGTATCACTCACTTTGATAGTGTTCCTAGACACGGTCTTATTCTTGGGAAAGAGAATGGGACAGTCCCCGAGTGTCATGGGCTTGTTGATGTTGTTAAGCACATCGGCATAGGTCGACGAGGAGGCAAGAGCGTCGGCAGCCAGGAACCGATCCATGTCCACCTGAAGCAGCTCTGCCTGCAAGCAGACAACAGAGTGTGTATTGCATGCTGGATGCTGAACGATTTCTGCTACAGGATTCCTTTTTAAATTGCTTGTACCATGTAAATTATGTTACATATAGCTTCTTTTTCTTCACATTATTGTGACATAACAATTTATTAGATTCTTGCTTGCTTTGCTGCTATCCCCTCTCGTCACAGCCATGCATTCAGCTTTTAAAAGCAAAGCTGTGGACTGAGAAGTCTGCCGATATGATACACTTCAACGTAAACGGTTCATGAACATCATGGCTAAAGGTAATACAAAACAAAACGAGAGAGCTTGGAAGCTCAGGGCCCTACGCTATGCTTTTTTTGCCTAGCTCATCATGCATGTTATTAGAACTGATAGAAATGTTGTTTTTTTTCATTTATTGGCTACATCATTGTATTGCAAAAAAAGTTTCAATCAGTTTAAATATGAGTTAGGCAAAAGTAATTGCAGAATTTATTGGGGATTGTTATTTTCCCTCACTTAATCCACTTTTAGTTTGCTACTTCTTTTTCTAATATCTCCTCATAATCGGATTTTCTGGACTTTTGTAGTAATACATTGACCTGTTGAGCCAATGAGGTAAAACTATTTTCCATACAATACGATACAATAATACAATAATTTCCTTGCCTTGATAGTGTGCTTGTGCTTAACAGTTGCTGACGGCCGAATGCATGGTTGCCTGTTGTAGTGTTCACGTGTACCTACGCGCTGTGGCATTCCTTTTCCACTCCAGTCATTCACGATGCATGTAGTAGTAGTAGTACATCGTGATATGTTATGCATGTAGCATGTGCCGTTTCCCGCGCGCGCGTGAAACGGACTTCGCGGCTTTTAGTTGCTGTGCATGGGTCGACTCTGGACTCTTGTTGTTTTTGGTCTGAAGGAGAAACAATACTACATTGGCGCTGCGAGCTATTTCGTTCCTCCGCAGCAAGCATGGGTGACCGACCACCCGCCATTCCGCCCCCTGGACCTCTTCCAATTTATGTCTCCCTCTACGATGCCGCCACGCGCTGGCCCGCCTGGACACGGAGTTTCAAACTTTATCTTGCTGTGTCCAAGATTGGCGATGACGACCAACAGCTTAGGCTACTCCAGTACCTGGGAGGAGACGACATCCAACAACTCATGCCCACTCTCAGCAACACAGGGGCAACATTCGACGACCCCGCCAAAGCGTTGCAGGACGAGTTCGATAAACACCAAAACAAAACCCTCCTCTGGTACAATTTCCGTCAGCTTCGTCAACAGCCGAACGAGACTATGGAAGGTTTCTGTTGTCGTTTGGGCGACCACGTGAAACGCAGTGGCTTCTGTAGTAGTAGTAGTGATAGTGCATGGTGACACTCAGTGGGCCCTTGCAGGGGCGTAGCACCCGCTACGACTGGTACGACCATAGCCGTACCACTTTTCGAAAAGTGTGGTCCGTCCGAAACATGCAAAACCGTAATAAAAAAATCAGGATCCATCGATGCGTATATGCGCATCAGACTTTGACCTTTTTCTAGACTCGTACTCGTAGATCTGCCATGAATCTGCAGTCGTACTGAGTACTGTACTCGACTCGACTGCACACTGCGCCAGAAGTTCCCAGAACGCAGGATTTTGTGTCTTTTTTACAAAAATTTCCCAGGGGAAGTCCCAGGACCCCCCTCCACCACGGCCTTCAGTCGCGCCGACCTTCGGTCGTACCACTTCCAAAACCTCTCCTACGCCCCTGCCTTGATAGAAGTTACTGCTAATTCCTTGACCTTTGGAATGACTGTTGCCGGTTCGAATCCCACAATTGCATGTGTTACCTTTTGTGTCTTTGCCCATTTATGCCAATGAAGTAATCATTACTTATTACTCTTTGTAGTAGTAGATAGAGTAGTCACATGAGCTTCTCTGATTGGCTGTTGCTAGGCGCCAGTGCCTGGCCCTGGTATGAAGGCAGTGGTTTCTCCTCATTTCATCCTCTTTCTCTTCGGGTCCTGATGGCGTCGTGAGCTGCTGCTGGCTACTGTTCAAGTACTGTAACTATGACCTTCTCTTCCCTCTTCTTCTATTCCTTCATTGTATGAAACTATATGTTGGACTCAGTAGAGCGTCCAGCCCCTATATGATGTCCAACCCCTATATAGAGTCCATTGGTCCAAAATCCACTGTACAGAGTCCAAACTTGGAATCAACTGTGAGCTCAAAGTTTCGATGGACATCACTCCCTGTATAGAGTCCAGCCAATTGGCTTCACCCCTATATAGAGTCCATTGGTCCAAAATCAACTGTACGGAGTCCAAACTTTGAAATCAACTATAAAGAGTCTTTATGTGGACAACACCCCTTGTATAAAGTCCAGCCAATTAGGCATCCAACTATCGAGTTCGAAAATAGACATAGGATCTGCTGTAAGCAGTGAATATTAACCAGAAAACGGCCTCTCCCTTTAATCCTTTACATCATTCACTTCTCAAGATAAAAAAATATGTATTGAGGCGCCACTGCAGCCACTTCATTACATGAAAAACCCTACAAACACCATCCTCAAATCAAGTGGTCTCTTCGCAGACGCTGCAAATTACAATATCTCAATCATGTAGTGTTGCCAAATTATTGTGCACGCACACACACATGCACACACCCACACAACGCCAAGAAAATACCTAGAAAAAACCCAAGAATCGAAAGAGAATAATGGAGAGCCCAGGATTAATTATTTGTTTTCAAATTATTGTGCGCGCGCGCACACACTCACACACACACACACACACACACACACACACACACACACACACACACACACACACACACACACAAAATTATACAACGCCAAGAAAACACCAAGAAAAGAGTAGAGACACAATACACACGCATCTCCAACAGCCATGCAAACGTCCACCCATTTACATGTAAAGTCAAGAGGGATAACAAATAATTATACGAAACGAATGCATACGGGGACGGGTACACGCACGTTTACATACACGTAGTAGTGTAAGAGAGTAACATAGTGCAGTGGTCAGCATAATACTAGCACATGCTGAGAGTGCAATAGCAAGCTTCACCATTGCTCATGGCCATGCAAATGTTCAGCAGCACTCAGTTCCGCAAGCTTCTGAAGATCAGCACACCTGCAACAAATAGATAGCACAAGGATACGCTTATTACCGTAATGATGCATGGGAGCACACAACTACCAAGTTCTCAGCGAATGTGATGCTCAATGAAAATCAATCCACTCAAAGACCTGTGAACAGGTGATGGTGGGGACAATAATCTATTAGTAATACGAGGAATAAGATCGTTTGTGCACACTCAAGACGCACAGACACACCAACATACATGTAGTGTACACAGTGTTTCACTTCACTGCAACTAAATTGAAATGAGATGATTTGAACAATCTGTACAGCGTTGCTGTCAGTCAGTCTTCCCCAAGATGGAAATGCAATGATTTGTTGTCACGAGGCAGTTTCACTGACACAATGTCATGTTCGTGACATCAAAACAGTTACTTCAGGGAATACGAGTATTAGCTTTAGAAGCTTTTTCTTGTCATTGGCATACAAGCAATCCTCCTAGTCCTACTACTACTAGTACACTGGCACTGCGTTTGTGGATCCCATTGTATTTGACATCATACTACAGGAAGAGTGTCGTGGAGTTCACATAATTATCACAGGGATAAACTTGAATACATTCCTCATGAAATAAAATAATAATTGATGATAGCTAGACGATCATATACGATTGATGCAAAGACAGTCCTTGCAGTCCTTGAGGACTATTACGAAGTGGTTGATTACTTTTAGGGCATTCATTCAAGCAACATCAAACAAACGCGATACGCCCCTTGAAAATGGAAAAAAATTCAAGCATAACGACAGAACAGCAGACCAATCGAAACGAGTAAAAGCTTCCTTACCTCAATCATCGTCCTGCCATGTAGTTGGACAGCCTTTTGACACGGTGGTACAGGCAGCTCTTGTCCAGTCAAACAGGGTATCCTTGTGGCGTCGAACGAAAGAGAGTGTCAGTGTATCTGACTCGTCAGATTTGAACTGTGCTGAACTTTTCTCGTTCTGCAATTTCTGCTTTCATCCCGCGCACTGATGAAACGTCTTCAGAGAACCACAAGACGCTTTCCAGATTTGATTTTGAACGTCTCCTTATCCTCCTTGGTTAGCTCGAGACAGATTACTGTCAGCAACTGCACAGCAGAATTGGCAGCCATGGCTGAAGTGAAGAAAGGAATGCGCTGCCACGAGGCAAGCAAAACTGAAAATGTGTTCTCTTTCGGGCACAACACACAGGACGGCGTGGCTGGATAAACTGGACTCCTGGACTGTGAATAGGGGACTTGTACTGTGTGTAGTTGTAGAAAAAGTGTACTCCTTATAGGGGATTGCGCGGCAGGATGAAGCTGATCAAAACTGAGTGGACTCCTGGACTCTGTATAGTGGATTTTGGACCAATGGACTCTATATAGGGTGCTGGACATCATATAGTGCATGGACTCTATACTGAGTCCTACATTATATAAAATCAAGAAAGAGTGTCTTGTTGTAGATGTGTGAGTGCTTTGTGGGCGCTAGAGTTTGAGCTGGTTACGATTCAGTAACACTTCCTGGATACTGCCACGGAGAAATTGGCTGTCTTGGACCAGCTAATCATCGGCTGCAAGTCCGACGCCCTTCGGCGAAAACTGCTGGAAATCGATGGCCTCGACTCCGACAAAGCTCTGAAAGCAGCCCGCGCGTATGAGGCCAGCATCACCCATGTACTCGCCATCAAGGACGCCTCTCTGGGCTCTTCAGTGGCTTCACAGCAGGACGCCCACGTCGCTTCCCTGGCGTCGGCCGCACCCAAGCTTGCCCATGTGGATGCCCTCTCATGGTCATAGCACAATGGCTACGCAGCTGCACGCCAGCCCCAAGCCCAGTGTCCACCGTCTACCTCATCCGGTCTGACCTGCTATCGGTGTGGAAAGCCAGGCCATGCCGCATGTGACGCTGCCAAGGGCCAGTTCTGTAGCCGCTGTGGCAAGCCAAACCATTTCGCTGCGGCATGCCGCGCCTCGGACTCCGCCATCCAGGCCCGCACGTTCAGGGAATGCCGTCCCCACCTACACTCTGACCAGCACGCTGTGAACAGCGGCCACCATGCCATTCATTCCTTAGAGATTGGCGCAGAGCTGTTTTCTACCGACTCTCCGCCTCGCCCATCTACGGCACCCTGCCGCGAGGATGCCCGGCGCACCGTGCACGTCAACGGCATGCCCCTGACTGTCTTGGTGGATAGTGGTGCCATTCACAATATCATCAATACTGATGACCTGGCAAAGGTTGCCCCTGGTGCAGCACTTCAGCAAACGGATGTGCAAATCTTTGCTTACGGCTCAACTTCACCTCTTCCTCTTCTGGGTAGCATCACCCTCTGTGTTTCCTCCGCTGCCATGAGTTCGACGGCAACATTCCTCGTTGTCGCACACGCGCCACGTAACGCTGCTATCGTTGGCCGCGAGACCGCCATGCGTTTTGGCCTCATCCAGCTGGTCCACAGCGTCGAAAGTCCGCAACTGCCAGACGACCTTGCTGAGTACCACGACCGCTTCCAGGGCCTCGGCTGCATCAACGACGTAGACGCCCATATCTACGTAGATGGCAACGCCCGCCCTGTCACTCACGCATCATCCAAAGTGGCTGTCCACCTCCAGGAGGATGCGCTCGCTGAGCTCCATAAGCAGCTCGCATTGGACGTCATTGAGCCTGCCACTGGCCCCACCCCATAGGTTGCCCGAATGGTGGTCGTACCGAAGCGCAAGGGCAAAGTGTGCCTCACGCAGGATTTCCGTGATGTCAACGCCGTTTCGGCACGGGAACGGTACGGGATAGCGCCAGGCATGCCGATGGCACAAACAAACAAACAAACACGGAATTAAAGCTGTGTGGACCCTGGCTAGCGCCAGATGTTACTGAAGTAATGTCTTCTGCATAGCTACGGGAATAATATACTTTGAAGTATATTATATCAAGAGTACACAACCCCAGGAGTGTGCAGCCGCCTGTACAACCTCCGAGGCTATACAGGGCTGCGACGGAAGAACTTCACATCAAGTGACATGGGTCAAAAGGTTACGCTGGAAAACAGTGCAAAGTGACCACAAGAGAGTTGACCTGAAAGCAGAGTTGCATAAAACCCGGTATCAAGAGTATATCCCCCCCCCCAGAGTGTGCAACTCTGCATATGGGGTCTCCGACGGCGAAAACTCAAATCATGGGTCTCAGGTACGATAGCGTGCGCAACCCGAAAATCTGCCATGATTATGCTGGCGAGTTGCATACGCGCAGAGAGTTTCTGCAAGGAAGTACTTTTCTTATTACTCCGCTGCTCGCTAGAAACGGCCTGGAAACGTACAACTGGGACACTACACCACGTGATGTGAGTTTTCGCTGTCGGCGAACCCCATAGAAAGGGTCTCAGTAGTTGCACACTCTTGAGGGAGTTATAAATATACTCTCGCCGGTATCTGTCACGCACAGGGTGCAAATAATGCGTACGAGTTTGTCGGGCATACACCCTGAACCAGCACCACCCTGGAAACAGTGTAAATGAGCAGCTCAAGACTGAAATGCACATCACATTGCATCCCTCTTGCTCATTCCGGTTCCCTGGACAGTGCATTTCTGTGTCACTGCGCTCATGCTTTGCCAGCTCGTTCTTATTATAAGCCACGTTTCTTGCAGCAAATGGGCTTCAGCGAAATGCTCCACCTTTTTTCTCTCTCATTCCCTTTCTGGTGACCGTCAGTTATTTCGTTTCCTGTTCGACCCTCTTTGAAGTTGTTGTATCATCTGTATCATGCATGTCATGAGTGTCTGGAGCTAGTATCTGTGCTGGGTTGACTTCACTCTTTAGTACTATTGACTGGCTTTTCGTACAATACCTATTGATATCGAGAGACATACTGTCTAGCCGTCCCCTAGTGCGCTTATTGATACACTATCCAGCTGTCCAGCGGATCTCCTTCCACCGCTCTCGCTATACTCTTCTTCACACTCTATAAGTTTGTGTCTTCTTAACAACGAGAGAGCTTGGAAGCTCAGGGCCCTACGCTATGCTTTTTTGCCTTGATGACCTAGACAAAAAAAGCACAGGGATGTCATAAATTCTTTAAAAAATTCCTTTTTTTAAGACATAACCTTGGATTCGAACCCGCACTATCGCGCGCCCTGCATGCATCCCCGATACACTTCGCATACATACTTATTCTTCCAAGTTGCTTCACGTTATGATCTTGCATTTGAATATGCATTGTGGCCAGCCGTCTTTGATGGTACGGTACGTTACGGGATAGGTACGGGACAGGTACGATCGAGGGTAATGCGACACCGTCTACCGCCTTGATGACGGCAAAAAAAGCATAGGGATGTTATACATTTTTCAATTCTCCTATTTTTTCAGGTATATCCTGGGATTCGAACCCGCACTATCACCCTACATGCATTCCCCCATACACTTCGCATTCATACCCATTCTTCCAAGTTGCCTCACGTTATGATCTTGCGTTTGAAAGCCCTATTTGAATATTGCGGCCAGCTGTATGTGGCCAGCTGTGTTTGATGGTACAGTACGGTACGGGACAGATACGGGACAGATACGGGATAGCGCCAGGCGTGACACAAACAAACAAACACACAAATACCGAATTAAAGCTGTGTGGACCCTGGCTAGCGCCAGACGTTACTGAAGTAACGTCTTCTGCATAGCTACGGGAATAAAATCAGTTCAGTGACTGACGAGTGCTAGAGCACTACAGAAGCTATACATGTACTGTTGAGGCAACAAACTAAAATAAATCAAAAACAAACAAACAAACACACACAAACAAATTCCCTGGCACCTACCTCAGTCGCATCAATCGTCGATTTTCCCTCCAGGATCATAGCGACGCCACAATTGCTCTGGTTGTTGGAGATGATCATCTGGCCGAAGATGAATGCCTTGGAGCTGCGAAGTCCCAGCGTACCTCTACTGCAGTTTGTGATCACACTGGCCACAATTGCAAACAAGCACGCATGTACGGTGGCATATGTAACCGTGTACATGTACATGTACATGTACTCCGAAGTATTCAATCCTAACAAATTCACTACAATCTGCATGTAACCACTGAAGTGCAGCACAATGTGCTGGGTCAGGTGATTCTCAAGGTAATTTAAATGGATATACAGGATCAGCGGACCCAATTTTTGATTGGTCCTGTCGTACCAATGTCTTTAATACATTGTGTATGATAACTTGTCGCAAGGGACACATGAGTCGTGACCTCCTCGGCAGTAAACATGCGTAGGTGGCCAAACAGGTGGTCCGGCCATGCCATAGCCTGACAAACCGGACCGGTTCCACCGGCCCTGAAATGGGCTCGCTTTTGAATGTATTGCTGAGTGCCTGAAGCGATGCAGATCTACCAACCATGTACGACCTGACCCCCCCCCCCCCCCCCCCCCAAGTGTTCTCGCTGCGGCTGCAATGGCAAAGAGGGGAAACACAACTTACAGAAGGGTCTTCGCATTCCCCACAGCCAACTCACGTTCTCTTGCTGAAGATGACATTGGCACGCACGACGTTCACAGTGCGGTAACCCACGTTGTTTTCGAATGTGCAGTTGCTAAACTCTACCTCAGCACACCGACTGCTGGTGGCACTGGACTTGGACATGCTAAGAGAATCAGCCTTCACTGACGGAGCCAATGCCCGCCACCAGAATTTCAAGCTTCTCGCACACCGGACGTTGTCGAGATGATCGGATCGGATCGACACCGCGCCACCTGGAGTGGGAGAGTGTTCCTCGAACGCGGCCTTGTTGGAATCCATGATACAGTTGGAAAATGATACTCTGTTCCAGCGGAATCCACTCTCG